AAAAAAAAAAAAAAAAAAAAAAAAAAAAAAAAAAAAAAAAAAAAAAAAAAAAAAACTTGACAACTCATCAAGCCTTATCAAAACAATCACTAATCTCACTCCAAAGAAGATAAAAGTAACCTAATAACACAAGAAGCCAACCAATAAATTTGGCAAGGATGTAAGCTCACTCATCACTTACCAATTCCTTGAGTCGATCAAAATCTGTATAGATAACCCCTGGCCCCCTAATATCATCATTTTGTATCCCATGGATCTCATCAGTGAGATGGATACCACAATTTTTTATAGTTACAGTAGCTGCAAAGCATTTCAAAACGTCAAACCAAACTATAACATGATTCCAACCATTGGCAACCGATGAAGTACTGATATTTGAAGTAATTGATATTAACCACATATATTCTGATGTTGACGATGGAAATTCTCTATTAAAAGAAAATTTGTCTTGATCGCTGTAGCATTTGTTAAAGGAAATTACAGCATGCCCTTGATCTCGAAGCTTTTCCATTCTGTCCACTTTGAACATAACATAGGTAGTTAAAGTTCTTTCCATATTGGGATAGTGTCGAAAGCTAACCTTCATTGGATTTGATATCGTTCGATAGAACTTTTCTGGAATTTCTCCGTTCATTATAATGAAATGTCTCTGAATGCCTTTAATGACCTATAAAGCATAAGAATAGTACAAACTCAAACAAGAATTGAAACGGGAAGATAAATGAAATGAGAAGAGACGAACCTGCTTGCTTGATAGCATATCTACAAAGTTGTGACATCTAGCCAACGATTCACAACCAGTGGCATCCATTCTTTCTATATGTGGAGGGAGGCTTGAAATTTTTTGAAGAAATTTGCAATTCCTCAATATGAGATTCTGTAAGGTCGTGAACTTATGGAGACATGAAGGTAGACTAGAGAATTTGTTTCTCGACAAGTTTAGACTATGTAACAAACGGGTGACATGACATAAAGTTTTCAAAAAATTGGCATTTGACATGTTGCAATTTTCAAGATTCAGAAAAGCGAGATGGAAAAACATAGGCTTTACTTTAAACTCGAAGAAGTTTCTATGAACTGTACTATGAAAAGAGATGAGGTTTGTGCAACCGTGAAGGTTTAACGAAAGAAGTTCAGTAAGGTATCCAATTGATGAAGGTAGCTCCTTTATGGCCGTAAAATCTAAATTCAACACATTTAAAGATGTCATGCTTTCATCAAATTCTGGAAACATTTTAAGCTTACAGCAGCCGGAGAGATTTAAAAATTTAAGGGACTTTATTCTCAAGTAGCTCGGAAGTTTTTCAAGTTTAGTGCATTGTGCAAGATTTAAGTCGACAAGACTATCCAAAGATCCAACAGACTCGTGAATCACTCTTAAATTTGTACAGTTATTGAGATACAACCCTTTAAGGTTTGATATTGTTGAGAAGTTCGAAAGTCCTTCAAGTCTTTTGCAGTAACTAAGGTTCAAAATTTCGAGAGAGTCCAACATGAGGTAGCTTGGAAGCTTTTTAATGTTTGAACAATATCTAAGATCTAAGATAACAAGCTTATTCAAAGATCCAATAGATTCGGGAATTTTTCTTAAACTTGTACATTCTATTAAATACAATTCTTCAAGACTTGATAATGCAGAGAAGTTGGGAAATTTTTCTGACGAAGTAGAGTAACTAAGATCAACAACCTTCAATCTTGTACCATCCTAAAATACATAGAAAAAAAGTAATATTATTATAAAAAAATAAGATCAACGAGCTTCAATCTTTTACCATCTATCAAATTTTTTGAGAAAATCAATAAAGAAACTTCCAATCACACAAAGTAAGAAATATAATTACCTTAAATACTTTGTCCAAATTTTTGATGAGGCTATGTTGCAAATTTAATCCAACGAGATTTTTTGTAATAAAGCAGGATGGCAAAGATTCTTGAGTAAATCCATGCCACTCAATCCACCGTAAGTTATCTGGCAGACATTTAAGATTTGTAGAAAATCTTGCATTTTGAACGATAAGCAATCTTAGATTTTTCATGTTTCTTAACGCTCGTGGATTCACCTCCAGCTTTGTGGGATTAGGCAACTCCAACTTTATGGCTCTAATTGCATCAGTTCCCTGCAAACTCGTAAATTTAGTAATTTAATATTACTAACAACCATCACCAAGTATTGGAAACAAGTAAATTAAAGAAAGTCTGAGCAAGTGTTACTCACTGAGTTATCCGCAAATACCTTCAAAACGTCTTGTACCAACCACAATCTACTCCTTTTTCCAGGCTCAAAAGATTCACCATTGACTATTTTATGAGTCATGTGTCGTACTAAATCATGCATTTGCACCTTGTTATATTCAACCGTTACAAGTGAAAGATCTATGAGGACTATAATTCCAAAATCTGCATTGAAATGACATGCGTTTAAAATATTCTTAACGTATTCAACTTTCTCTCCCACTAAGAAACAAGAAATATCAAGGAAAATCTCCTTTACTTTTTCTTCAAGCCCATCAAAACTTATACGAAGGATATCACTTATATCTTTGCTTAGAGAGTTTTCAAATTCATCTAATATACTTCTCCATTCTGCTTCGTCGTCTCTAGTACAAAGGAAAGAACCCAAAACAACAAGAGCCAAAGGATGACCTTTACAATAACTTGTAGCACGTTTTGAAAGGTCTACGTAAGCACTTGGTGGATGACTTTTCTTAAAAGCATGCCAACTAAAAAGTTCAAGGGCATCATCATGATTCATTCCTTGAATACCATACTTTTGATCAAATTCATGGATAGAAAGTAAATGGTTGTTTCTTGTTGTCACAATAATTATACTACCAGGGCCAAACCAATCACGCCCACCAACCAATGCTCCTAATTGCTCAAGCTTATCCACATCGTCAAGAGCTATAAGAACTTTCTGTGAACACAGTCTATGCTTTATGATGTTGATTCCTCTGTCAAGATTGCCAACTTTTAGATTTTCCTTTAAGATCTCATGGAGTAGGTTTTCCTGTAGTTGAACAAGGCCATTGAATTGCTTTGAAGTTTCCCTAACTTTTGATATAAAGCAGCAAGCTTCAAATTGGTTAGCAATTTTGTTGTATAAAGCTTTGGCGAAAGTTGTCTTACCAATGCCTCCAATCCCATATATTCCCACCATGTAAACACTAATACTAGGCTCATCTTCCGTCCAATAATGGGAGTGTAGCCTTAAAGTTTCTAGTTGATAATCAATACCAACCGGATACTTTGCTACATATAAGGGTGTGCAAATAAGATTTAATATCGACAATACTTCTTTAACAAGGTCTTGAATAAGATCAGCCTCCTTCCTGTTGTTAACCATGTAATCATAAAGAAATTAAAGATGATAGAGATTGGATGTAGCAGTAGATGGAATTAAATTACTTAAAAATATATACCTAGTTCCGAGATCCCAACCGGACAAGTTGGCTGCAGTAGTTAAAGTTTCCCTCCAAATTTGGATTTTTGTCTTGAACTTAGCTTGATGGGTGGCTAATGCTTCTCCAAAACTTTCTGTTTGTTTTCGTATATCGGATGGATTCACCTTATAGAAAATTGGCCAAACTATTTGGCCCTTGGATTTCTTACATTCTATTATTTTCACCAATTCATCCAAACACCAGGAAGAAGATGCATAATTTTCCGAGAATATAACAATAGAAATCAAAGCTTCCTCTATAGATCGGAAAAGAGATTCAGAAATTTGTTCACCCCTGCTGAGCTTGTCATCAATAAAGACATTGACTCCCTTTTGCCGCAAGGCCATATCAAGATGACTCGTGAAATTGGATCGAGTATCCTCTCCTCTAAAACTCAAAAACACATCATAACTCCACTTGAGATTTGGAGAAAAAACACATGATCCTGCCATAGCAATAGAAGTACACATCAATAAGCATAAAAACACTTCGATTTAGAGAGTTTTTATTGAAAGTAAAATGAAATTTTAATGATAAAAGTTGAAGACATAATATAATATGTGTGGGTGAAATTTCTTTACTGATTCCTTGACTTTTCCTTTTAAATTTCTTTGATGTATTATAATAAATTTGGACCCATCATGTGAGAAAAAGAGAAGCATCAAAGTATTACAACTCTTATCCTTGGTTCAATTTTTATTATTTTTTTCCTCGATTCCATTCCAGATATAAAGTTGTTAGTGCAATTTCTTTAGCCTTTATCTTTGAAATTTTTTGAGGTAACCCTACCATCAACATCTTAATTAGAGAAAAGCATAAAACTAAAAAAGTTTTGATGATACGTACTTGAAATCATTGGTATAAACTTTTAGCCAAACATTTCTTTTTCTTGCATTTTTTTCTCTATCATTCTTTTTGATTGAATGTATAAGTTCTTAGCAATTCAAAATATTTTATAATTAATTATTTAAGTATGCTATATTATTTCCATATGCATATTTTTCTTCGACTTTCTTATAATTATTTCACTTATGGTGATGTATATATGATACATATAGAATATATGATATATAAAGCTTAACCAATTGGATTTAAGAATCAGTACAAACCCCTAGATCATAAATACTAAAATTCGTAAATTAAGATGATTTATTGTAACTTTTGTGTATTGGTTCCGACAACCATATTAAAAAATAATCTTTAGATCTAAAATAATCAATAACTCCAAAATAATAAGAATACTTTAAGAAAAAATAAGATAGTATGTAACCTAAGACTAGCACAAATGCTATTTTTACTACATTTTTTCAAATATGTTTTATAAAAACAATACATAGTTTTATAGTGTCTCAAGATGAAACTCTTGACCTTCCATGAAACCTTTCAAAACTTCTAACTTTCATACTTTATGACCTAATTATTCACTACATAAATGTAATCTAAAAATTTAAAACTCAAAATTCATGAATATGAAACACAATAAATTTAGATTTCAATTATATCAAGAATTTGCATGAATAAATGAAATTGGCTTGACCTATCTTGAAATCCTTATGGGATAAATGAAACTTGATTCTTCTATGATTCTTCTATAAAGGGAAATTAATTGTCATTCAAGTTCAATATAATGAAATTTGACTTATTCTTTACGATTTTTTTTTTGAATTTCATATGGTATGGTTGAGATCCTTTGATTTATATTAATATGTTCAAGGAAATGTCGCATAGGTTGATATCTATACGATAAAATCAAATCGCGTTGCAAATTCTTCATGATTCGGTCAGCTTCTTGTAGTACTTCTGTACAGATTTTGCAAATTCTTCACGTTTGGCGTTGCAAGTTCTATTACATAACTTATTCTCCATCACATCTTTACTGTCCTAATATGTCCAAGTGTAGCCATTCATCTGGGAATTGAAATTAAGATCTTATCATGGCCAGCCATGGTGACTATGAGATGGAGCTACCGACAATGTAATAAAGATGAAATATCTATCCCGTGATAGTTCTAGATGATCTTCTCAACACTTTCTTAGGTGTCGCTTAATGTACCTCTAGTTCTTCGGCATCAGTTTTAGGAGTTTTAGGAGTTTTTTAAATTTCTAATGTAATAACACCGATGAGTTTTTTTGCAACTCAAGTTCAACTCCCACTTGCTTCGTAATCTCAGAGCTTTTCTTTTCTTTGTCCTGGTACATAGTATTTTCATCAAAAGTCACATCACAATGTCTCAAAACATAGATAGTCAAAGTTGTTTCCATATTGAGATAGTGTAGAAAGCTAACTTTCATTGAATTTGATATAGTACGATAGTTGAACCTTCTCAAAATTTCTTCCTTCATTCGAATGAAATGTCTATAAATACTTATAATGACCTATAAAGCATAAGAACACTACAAACTCAAAGAAGAATTGAAATGAGAAGAGATGAACCTGCTTGTGCTTGATCTTGACTGGACTTCTACTCAACGATCTAAGTTTGAATTTCTTGATTGGAGATTCCATAACGGCATAAACTTATGGAGAAATGAAGGTGGACTCGAGGATTTGTTTTTAGACAACATTAGATTAGAGAATTTGTTCTCCTTCAAGGTCTAGCTCCTTTATGGCCTTAAAATCCAAATCCAAAAACCTTACAGATTTCATGTTTTCAGCGATTTTTGGAAACTTTTCGAGCTTAGAACACCCAGATAGCTTTAAATATTGAAGGGACTTTGACTCAAAGTAGCTTAGAAGCTCTTCAAGGTTAGTGCATTTTGTAAGGTTTAAGGTAAGAAGACTATCTAAAGCTCTAATAGACTCGAGAATCGCTATTAATTTTGTGCCATGGTTGAAATATAAGTTTTGAAGGTTTGATAATGGAGAAAAGTTTGGAAGTTCCTCAAGTTTTTTTCGTAATTAAGCTTCAAAATTTTCAGAGACTTTAATATAGGGTGCCTTTGAAGCTTTTTAACATTCGAACAATGATTAAGGTCTAAGGTAACAAGCTTACCAAGAGAAAAAATTGACTTAGGAATGATTCTTAATTTTATTCGGAAGAGAAATCAGGAATTTTCCCTAATAAAGTAGAGTACCTAAGATCAACATGCTTCGACATTTGACAATCCGAAAATACATGGAAGAGAACAAAAAAAGGAGGGGGGGGGGGGGTTTGGTCATCATTTCTATTCCTTCTTTCATTGAATATGATACTCTGGATCAAATTCATGGATAGAAAGTAAATGATACGCCCACCAACCAATGCTTCCAACTGCTCAAGTTTATCCACATCGTCAAGAGCAACTTTTTTTTTTTGTGTTAACACAATTTATTTCTTATGATGCTAATTCCGTTTTCAAGATTTCCAACCTCCAAATCTTCCTTTAAGATTTCATGGAGTAGGATTTTCTGTAGTTGAACAAGGCCATTGAATTGCTTTGAAGCTCCCTTAACATTGGATAGAAAGAAGCAAGCTTCAAATTGGTTAGCAATTTTGTTGTATAAAGCTTTGGCCAAAGTCGTCTTACCAATGCCTCCAATCCCATATATCCCCACCATGTAAACACCAATACTAGACTCATCTTGTGTCCAATAATCGTAGTGTAACATCATTTTTTCTAGTTGTGAATCAATTTCAATAGGATACTTCTCTACATATAAGGGCGTGCAAGTACGATTTAATATCGACAATATTTTTTTAACAAGATCTTGAATAAGATCAGCTTTCTTCCGGTTGTTAACCATGTAATATTAGAATTAGAGATGATAGATATTGGATGCAATAGTAGATGGAGTTAAATTTCTTAACATTATATACCTGGTTCTTAGATCCCAACTGTAACGATCCAAAATTTTCTACTTAATTTAAGGTCGCTACTGTATACGTACCATAAACATTGAATGCAGAAGACTTCATTTAAATTCCATAGAACATAACCTTTAACTTAAAACACAGCCATAGACTTACGTGTTTCGAAAACATCTTTAAAACGACGCAACAAAAGACCTGAAATAAAATAAATAAGCATTTAAGTTTAAAACATCCTATTCTATCCTAAGTCTAAGAAAATAAATACCACTATCCTATGCATGTGCCATGATCTCGAGTTGCGATACTGTCGTCAGCCGTACAGGAATGCCTTGCCTTAACCTGAAAAATGTAGTAGCACATGGCTTGAGTATTTAAAGAAATACTCAGTAAGTGACCCCACTATTGGGGTTAAATGCAACAATCACATGCAATGAAATGATGGGACCTATCTTTCGTTTCGTTTCGTTTTCCCTACGGTGTAATCCTAACAGATAATCGTGGACGTGTACCATATACTCTACATGCAGCCCATACATGCGAGTATGGGCTCACCAGCTAGTTCGCACACCGCTGTCCCTAGCCGGTGGGCATACTCTGGGAGCCCTTATACCGGGACCCGTTAAAACTAGAACCGTCATGGCAGCGCTATGCAAGGCATAACGATCGTTGTCCTGCCATTGGATGTACGCGTCCGTACCCTCGTGATGGGATAGGGGTATCTCCCCAAATGCATGAACACACAATATGCATGAGATCTCACTAGTCCTACAGTTATCATTAATGAACATAACCTCGTATCACGTTTTCATGCTTACATGTCATTCTCATTCTCATTTCGTTACATATATACATATTCCTAGTGGGGTTATGTTTCATGCAATTTACCGTATTTCATGTCATACAATTCATACAGTTACATTCAAATATTCATACAAACAAGCCATATTCGTACAAGGGCCACACATCGTCACATGCATAACATATCACATCAATTAAGCAGCATACATAACATACATTCACGTTCACATGATTTCGTACTTAAGCACAATAATCTAGCATACAATGTACCATATCATAAACAGGTCATAACGTAAACACTTCATAGTCATATCGTTCTCTAACTTACCATAACACTATCGTTCTATCAATCTATCACAAACCTATCCCTTTCTACCCATAACCTAACCGTATTCTTTCATCAATCTCTCCTATCCATAGCACTCCGGTATGTAACATAACCTTAACGTTTCATGAACGTAACTTACTTCTATCGTTACATTTCATTTTGTGCATCCTTCTCGTATTCTATCTCAAACATATCCTTGAGCACATCGTACCATAATTATTATCATACAAACCACATATAATAACATAACATAACATATAGGAAGCACATCGATCCATAGACAATTCACACATATCAATATATATGACGCATGCAGAACCACAGGGCACGTGTCAACATCAATATAACCATGCCGATAGTAAGGTCACTTACCTGGTTAGCTTAAGTCGTTGTCACGAATATATCCTTAATGAAAGTTCGATTCCGTCCTTTGAAATCCAAGTCAACCTATGCGAGCTCATGACATCAGTTTCAAGTTTGAACTCTATCAAATTATTTCTCTCGTTT